GCCTGTCAGCGTCAGGTAGGTATTGGGCAATACCCGATCTGGAGCCACCATCTCGAGCTGGGCCAGCGGCACCTCAGCACCTGTGTCCCAATATCCATTGACCTTCCTTCTATCCACCTCCAGGGGAACAAGGCACTTGCTCCGCAGGGACAGCCCCGCGCCCACCCTGTAAACTGAGAACCTTGAGTCCGGAGCATCAAGCCCCCCAGCGAAGCTGGTCCGGGAAACTCCTCCCCCCTGAGCAGTTGGTAAGCTGCTAGCCCCCTGTGCCTGGGAAGCCTGCCCCTCCTCCGGCTGGGTCCCTACCCAGCTAACCCTGTGAGGGTTCGATTTGCTCAGTCCATTGGTCCCCGTGAGCCAGTCAGTTGGTCCTGGTGCTGGTTGTTCCCCTGGAGAGAGGGTCTCCACATTCCCCCTTTGGGGGGTCCCAGGGTGACTCTCTCTCTGCACTGTGGTGGGCTTATTCTTTTCGGACTCCTCCGTTCCACCCCCTGACTGGCTGTCCACAAAATCGTTGGCCAGCTGCCCTGCACTCTGCAGGTCCTCTGGCTTTTTGTCCACCAACCATATCCTCAAGTCGGATGGGCAATGTTCATACAGGGGTTCCAGTACAACCAGTTTAACCATGTCCTCCTTAGTCTGGGACCCATCTGCTCACTTGTGGACATATTCCTCCATTTGGAGGATCAGTTCCAGATATGTGTCCTCAGGGGTTTTACGCTGACTCTGGAACTTTTCTGGTACGCCTCGGGAGTCATTCCAAACTTGCATAACAGGGCCTATTTGAACAGTTCATAGTCCCCTGCCTCCATCCCTTCCATTTGGTTGTACATCACTACGGCTTTGGGGTCCAGTAAGGGGTTAAGAAACCAGAGCCTGTCTGCCAGGTCAACTCTATGCAGCCCGCAGGCCTTCTCAAAGGCCATCAGGAATTCATCTATGTCCTCCCCTTCCTTAAACTGGGACAGGATGCGCTTATCAAAGTTCCATGTAGTCCTCGGTCCTTCACTCACTGCAGTGGGGGGCTCTCTGCTCCTCAACTTTGCCAACTCCCGTTCATGCTGCCGCTCTTTCTTCCAATCCTCCAGCTCTTTCAGTTTTATCTCCCTTTCCCATTCCAACCGCCTCAGCTCCAGCGATGAGGAGCTTGGCTGTGAGGATCCCCTGCTGGCCATGGGGGTCATGGTGTCCCTGGGGTTTGCCTGGATGCCTCTAGCCCCTCCCATAGCCATAGGTGGGAGGGGCCTTGGAAAGCCCTCGGCAGCAGTCTGACCACTCCCAGCCCAGACAGACACCAGTGCTGGCGCTGCATCTTCCAGGCTGCTTCCCTTAGGGACAGGGATCAGCTCCTCCCAGCGATACTCCTCCTTCGGCTGGGCAATCAGCAAGCTTTGGTGGCCTTCCCTCTGCGAAGCCCTTTCTCCTTGCACAGCTCTACAAGATCTCTCTTAAAGAGATGGTTATTCATCTCCCCGCTGTTCCCAAGTTGTTGTGGACTCGCAGGCCTGTGTGCTCTCAGCTCCCCAGGGTTTCCAGGAAGAACCCCTACTGTGCCAGCCTTTCTCCAGGTCACCACATCTTTCCCAGGGTCAAGCTGCAGACTTCTCCGCCCCTAAAACCGCTTGCAGCAGTCCCCAGGGGGATCCCCTTACTGCAACAGTCCTTCTTGCTGGTCACACACTCCCAGGGGTTAAGCATAGCTCCTCTCTGAGCCTTCAGCATGCCTGGTTCTCATTAATCCCCCTTCATTTTACTGCTCCCCAGTCACTTACTGCAGGAAGTGCCATCCATGGGGTGCAGTAGATCCCACCGCTTCCACCAGTTGTCACGGAGTGTGGAGGAGTCAGGCCCCTGCACCCCCCACTTCCTGCAACTCACTGTGACTCTTAGCCAGCCAGTAAAACAGAAAGGTTTATTAGACGACAGGAACACAATCTAAAACAGAGCTTGTAGATACAGAAAACAGGACCCCTCAGTCAGGTCCCTCTTGGTGGGTGGGGAGCCCCCCGTGTTAGGATATAGATATTCAGGCCTGTCTGTAAAGGCCTATACTCTAAGAATTTAGGTGTATTCTTATTACTTGGCTAGCTACAGAGGTATAAAAGAAAGAATCAAAATCACTGTCTGCCAGTGTAAGGTCCTTCTCTACTGTGACAGTCTGAGGCCCCGTTCTTAGGCTAAGGCCTTTGGCTAAGCAACAGAGGCAGCCATAAGCTGGGAAGCGACGGTCACATCCTCACATTCCAAACTAGTCACATTGAAATAAGGTGCTATTGGGCTGTTAGAAATACAATCCTGTCCTGATAGTGCCTATCGCCTCCAGAGAAAGGGAAGTGCCTAAAAGATGTAAAAGGAAACTTAGTTTGATAGCATCCTGCCTGGCAAGAACTCACTTATTAATAGCTGGGATGTGAAATCCTCATTTCTGTGTTGTTCTATCACTGTAGTCCCCATTTCCCTATTGTTTGTCTGCATAATCTCTGTCTGGTTCTGTGATTGTTCCTGTCTTTTGTATAATTAATTTTGCTGGATGTAAACTAATTAAGGTGGTGGGATATAATTGGTTAAATAATCATGTTACAATATGTTAGGATTGGTTAGTTAAATTTCAGTAAAATGATTGGTTAAGGTATAGCTAAGCAGAACTCAAGTTTTACTATATAGTCTGCAGTCAATCAGGAAGCGTGTGGGTGGGGAAATTGGAATTATGTTTTGCTAAAGGGGGAAATGGGAACAGGAAATGGGGGTGGGGAAACTGGAATCATGTTTGGTTAAGGGCAGGAATGGGAACAGGGACACAGGTGTAAGGCTCTGTGGTGTCAGAGCTGGGAAGGGGGACACTAAGGAAGGAACCTGGAATCATTCTTGCTGGAAGTTCACCCCAATAAACATCGAATTGTTTGCACCTTTGGACTTAGGGTATTGTTGCTCTCTGTTCATGCGAGAAGGACCAGGGAAGTAAGTGGGTGAAGGAATAAGCCCCCTAACACCCCGTCTCCCTAGCCAGCTCCAAACTGAAACCCCTTCCTGCAGCCTCCCCCAGCCCCTTCTCCAGCCTTTGTCCAGTTTCCCGGGAAGAGGGTGTTACCTGGCCCCAACCCCTCCTGGGCTCAGGTTATGGAGGGCAGCTGCCATCGGTTACGTGCTGGCCGTCAAGTATCATCCCTCAGTGAAGTCACACCCTTATTTCCCATCTCCATCTAGTATTGGTGCAGTACCCCAGGGAAACAGAGGCACACCCCATGTTAGCAGAAGACAGTAAACTAGTAAAACTCCCATGCAACATTACCAGGTTAATACTCCCTACTCTGTTACAACTCCACTATGACCCCCGGATCCCTTTCCACAGTACTCCTTCCTAGGCAGTCATTTCCCATTTTGTATGTGTGCAACGGATTGTTCCTTCCTAAATGGAGCACTTTGCATTTGTCTTTATTGAATTTCATCCTTTTTACTTCAGGCCATTTCTCCAGTGTGTCCAGATCATTGTGAATTTTAATCCTATTCTCCAAAGCACTTGCACCCTCTCCCAGCTTGGTATCGTCCGCAAACTTTGTAAGTGAACTCTGTATGCCATTATCTAAATCACTGATGAAGATATTGAACAGAACCAGACCTAGACCTGATCCCTGTGGCATCCCACTCATTATGCCCTTCCAGCATGACTGTAAACCACTGACAACTCCTCTCTGGTTTTCCAACCAGGTTTGCACCCACCTTATAGCTCTGTCTAGGTTGCATTTCCCAAGGTTGCATTTGTTTATCAGGTCATGGAGACAGTATCAAAAGCTTTACTAAGGTCAAGATATACGATGTCTACTGCTTCCCCTCATCCACGAGACTTGTTACCCTGTCAAAGAAAACGATGAGATTGTTTTGACACGATTTCTTATGTTTATGTTCTTGATTTGTTTTTGACAAATCCATGCTGACTGTAACTTTTCACCTTATTATCTTCTAGATGTTTGCAATTTGATTGCTTAATAATTTGCCCCATCATCTTTCTGGGTACAGAAGCTAAACTGACTGGTCTGTAATTTCCTGGGCTGTTCTTATAGCCCTTTTTATAGATGGGCAGTATATTTGTTGTTTTCCAGTCCTCTGGAATCTGTCCCGTCTTCCATGGTTTTTCAAAGATAATTGCTAATGGCTCAGCGATCTCCTCAGTCAGCTCCCTGAGTATTCTAGTTAGGATGCATTTCATCAGGCTCTGGGGACTCCAAGACACCTAATTTGCCCAAGTTTCAGAGTAACAGCCGTGTTAGTCTGTATTCGCAAAAAGAAAAGGAGGACTTGTGGCACCTTAGAGACTAACCAATTTATATGAGCATAAGCTTTCGTGAGCTACATCCGATGAAGTGAGCTGTAGCTCACGAAAGCTTATGCTCAAATAAATTGGTTAGTCTCTAAAGTGCCACAAGTCCGCCTTTTCTTTTTGCTAATCTGCCCAAGTAATTTTTAATTTGTTCTTTCCCTGTTTTAGCCGCTTCTGCGCCTACCTCGTTTCCACCGGCATTCACTACGCTAGATGTCCCGTCACCACCAACCTTCCTGATGAGAACCGACACAAAGAGGTCACCAAGCCCTTCTGCCAGGTCCCCAGTTCCTGTTATTGCCCCCTCCCCTTACGCCACAGGCCTACCCTGTGCTTGGCCTCCCACTTGCTTCTCATCCACTAGGAGCAGATTCGGGGGGCCGCGAGCGTGCGACGGGCAGAGGCCTGTGGGAGTGTGAGCGCGCCCCGGGCTGGCTCGGGGCGGGTGCGCAGCGGCGGGAGGCGCGGGGCCTGGTCTCCTCCCATCGCCGCTGGCGGCCGGAGGGGGCGCGGCCAGGCCGCCGTCGGGCTCGAAGAGCTCTGGCCAAACCCCGCCCCGCGTTGTTCTCCTCCGGCCTCCGCCCCCCAAGCTTTCCTCACCACAACAACAGACGTCACTTCCGGGCGCCCTGAGTTGCGATTGGAGGCGCCGGACCGGAAGCGAGGGCGGGCGCCGCTCCGTTGCCGCAGTGACAGGGCTGGAGTGGAAGATGGCGGCGCCGCGTCGCTCCCAGCATCATCACCACCATCACCCGCCGCCCCCCGCGCCGGCCTCCCCGCCGCGCAGCCCCGGCCTCTCCCCTGCGGGCGCCGCGCCCTCCCCGCAGCGGCACAGCCTGGCCGGGCCAGAGGGCGAGGCCCCCGCTTCGGGCGGCGGCCGGGACGCGGAGCGCGCCCTGTCGCCGGAGCAGCCGGAGAGCGCGGCCGGGGCCGCCCCCCCGCCGGCTTCCGGCTCCAGTAGCAGCAGCGTGGCCACCAGCAGCGGCAGCGCTTCGTCGTCCTCCTCGGCGGCCTCCAGCCCGGCGGCCGAGAGCCCGGAGCCGCCCGGGCCGGGCGCGGGGAGCGGCGCCTTCCGGGAGCTGCTCGAGGCCTGTCGCAATGGAGACGTGACCCGGGTCAAGCGCCTGGTGGACACGGGCAATGTGAACGCCAAGGACATGGCGGGAAGGAAATCCACCCCCCTGCACTTCGCCGCGGGTGAGCGCCGCCGCCCGGCGGGGGAGGGGGTCGCTGTGCGCGGGGGCGCCCTGCGTGGCGGTGGGCGGCCCGGCCCGGCCCGGGGGACCTGCCCCAGTGTAGCTGCTGCGCAGTGGGGCTGGGGAGGTGGCTAGGTCACTGGATGAGAATGGAGCTGAGATCCCCCCCATGGGCTGGGCTAGAACAGACCCTAGGATAAAGCTGGCTCGTGAGCTTGGGGAGAGCACTTCAGACTGCTGCCTTGGAGACTCCGAAACCTCCTCTGACCCTCCCCCCCCTTTAAAAAAACCTTAAGGATTTTTGGTCTGCTCCCGTCTTGACAGGGATGTGTTAATGTCAGGTTAGCAGTGTTACAGATTTGGAGAACAGAAGTTTTTGTTATCAGTGGATGACTCTCTTTGTGCTTTCCTTATCTTCCTGGTGAATGTTACAGGCACTTTTCTTTGTAACTTAAACATTAGTTTAAAAAAAAGTTTGTAGCCCTTCAAAACAAACTGCTGAATAGGTGTAGGTCAATGGCCTTTTCTTAAAGGAAGGCAGTTTAGTAACAGAAAGCATTACTACATTCTTAAGGTAGGCCCTCAGTGATGTCAGTAACTGCTCTCTGCTTAAGCTCTTATTTCAAACTCATATTCTTGGTGTCCGTGTGAGCCACTCTCTTCTGATTATTCTTGCATGGGGAGATGTTGTGTCTGTGTCCTGTAATCCTTCCTGGTTGTTGAGAAGGGAGAGATGCTGTCTCCACATTGTCTGAAGAGGACTTGTGTGGAAGTAGCTCTCCAGTGTTTCCACCACAAGGTCCAAGACACTAAGTTCCATCCTTGTGTTAAGAAGGGTCTCTAGAGCACAAAAGTTGCTTTAGTGGTGGAATCTTCAAAGCACCTACAGGTGGGGAGGCAAGTGAGAGCAGACTCTTCAAATGTCCCCTTCCCCCCAAACAAGGGCAAAAAATAATACTTTGAACTCACTGGGGTAAGAAGAAAAGAGGAGGAAAGATCAATGAGAAACAAAAAAAAATCATAGGCCATGAAAATTTTCTTCCTTACTAGTTGTACAAGAAGTTAATCCACTAGTGTGCATATAATTAGGGGAGAAAGTAACATTGGGGCACTTTCGGAACACAGTTGGGCTCCAACTTCCTTTTGGGGGATGATGTTCTTTGTAGTACAGTTGTTCCTAGGGTATCAGCCTGGACCCCATTCAGCTGTGCGCTATGTGGGCATGTACTAAAAGAGAGATTCTGCTCCAAAGAACATAGTCCTGGCTAGTGAAAATGACACAAGTGTATAAAAACACACAAATAAGGAAGGGGATAACAATAAAATATGCAAGATATTCAAAATAAGCCATAGCCTCCGCCCACTAACTAACATGATTACTGAACGTGGCTCTTGTGCAGATTGTAAATTCTCTGGCACATTCTATATTTCTTTGTGCTAAGTGCTGTACATTGTGGCCTCTGGGCATTACTCTTAAAATATTTAATAATACAACATCTGTTTGTGTACACAACGATCAATATTTACATTTTAAAATGTGGTTCGGACTAACCGCACTGAAATGACTTTCTTAGAAAAATCAGCACTTTTAAGGAATGCTCTCTCAAAGACTTCAAAGTGTGTCCAGCTTCCTTTCCCACTGGTATTGCCTTGGTTATTCTGGATATGTCGATGTAAAGAGTCAAAAAGTGGTTCTCTGCTGGGCCCATGTCTTGAGTCCCCAAGTGCTGCCACTATAGCTCATGAGCTTCATATTGACTCAATTTGTAAAAGCAGTTTATCCCCAAGGAGTATGCAGATAGAGTTTAATTCTACAGAGCCTTGAAATGTGGGCTTATGGTTGCAAACTCCTTAAGTTCTATAGCTCAAGTGATAATTCCATGAGACCTCAACCAAGGGTCAGCAGCATGTCTGTATACGGACACAAGTGTCTGTGGTAAAAATTTTGAGGTCCGTGGTAATTTTTCAAAAAATTGAAGGACTGAATGACACAACCCCCACAATGTCCATCACTAAGTATGGTAATTTTGTCAAGTGTCCGTTGCGTGACATGGTGGTTCTGAGCCCTGGCCTCTGCTAGGTCCTACTTATCCTGAATTCAAGCTTATAAAAGCTTCACCAACATACTTCATACATAAACTCTTGAGCATCACTGGTGAAACACAGGTGTCTCTAAAGTTACAAGCAAAACTTAATCTGTCACTTGGATTGTGAACATGAAAAACACTTTCCTACTTTGAGGGGAAATGAACAAAACTTATGTGAGAGAAGTTGTGAATGTTGCCCTTTAAAACAATTTTAACAGAATATTATGTTCTAATAGAAGAACAAAAACTTGCTTGAAGTGCAGGACACTTACTGTTGGAAGATTCAACATCAAACTTAACTCTGTATATCTATAGACTAGACCAGCAGTTCTCAAACATTTTAATGGGGTCGTCAGGGCTGGCGTTAGACTGGCTGGGGCCCAGGGCCAAAGCCTGAGCCTCGAGCCCTGAGTGGTGCGGCTCAGGTTACAGGCCTCCTGCTTGGAGATGAAGTTTTTTGGGCCCCCCTGCCCAGGGAGGTGGGGCTCGAGCTTTGGCCTCCTTGTCCGGAGCAGCGGGGCTCAGATGGGCTCAGGCTTCAATCCCTCCTCCTGGGGTCATGTAGTAATTTGTGTTGTCAGAAAGGGGTTGCGGTGCAATGAAGTTTGAGAACCCCTGGACTAGACACTTTTCAGGTGCCATGTAAATTATCGTAATTTGATAAGAATGACATCAGGTACTAGTGGATCTCTTTTATGTGTTGGGAAGGTATTAGGATAAACTTTTGTATTAGGGGGTTCTGCCTTTGAAAGTGTCAGCAAATGTCAGCCATGGCAACTGATTTCTGATGGAGACTGGGCACTAAATGCCCCAGTACCAACTATGTGGCTGAAACCAGACAGTCACTACACTCTTGAATTAACTCGCAGGAAAATGATAAAAGAGGAAAAACACCACATCACCTGTGGGTGAACGCTTTTCATGATGTGATCAATCTGTCTGACCTGTCAGTCCTCAACCTCAAAGAAAACACACACAACGTTTTCAAAAGACTCGTGTGGGAGCTTAAATTTGTAACTTTGCTCGACACTAAGGGTACGTCTTCACTACCAACGTTAAAGCGCTGCCGCAGCACCGCTTTAATGTGGCTGTGTAGTCATGGCACCAGCGCTGGGAGAGCTGTTCCACGAGGGGAGCAGCTCCCAGCGCTGGTGCACTGCCTACACTGCCACTGTACAGCGCTGAAACTCGCATCGCTCGGGGGGGGGGAGGGGGTTCACACCCCTGAGCGAGAAAGTTTCAGCTCTGTAAAGTAAAGTGGAGACCAGGTCTAAAAAATATGGACTGCACAGAGATCCTGGATTTATGGCTTATTACAACAACATAACAACCCCCTCCCCCTTTCCTTTCCATCCTATGACTGGATGGGTGTTAATGGGCCACTTCACCCTGAATGGTCCCTTGAAATATGCGTTAACTACTTATGCTAAACAATCTGTTCCATCTTGTATTTTGCTGTGTACATTTCCCAGACCTGAAGAAGAGCTGTGTAAGCTCCAAAGCTTGTCTCTGGCTAGGTACGCTACCACTTATGTCAGTGTAACTTATGTTGCTATGGGGTGTGACCCCCCCCCCCTCCAACCTGAGCAAAATAAGTTACACTGACATAAGTGCTGGTGTGGACACGGTGGGAGAGCTGCTCCTGCCGACATAGCTACCGCCATTCTTTGGGGCAGATTAATTAAATTGATGGGAGAGGGCTCTCTGTCCGCATTGAGCGGCTGGCTTCACTAGAGATCTTAGTGTCGCAGCTGCCTCAGGACAGTGGCACTGCTGACTAACATAAAAGAGAAGGAACCACCCCCACCCCGAAAAAACAAAACAAAAACCAAAGCCAAAACCTCCAGCCTGCAGTCACTTATATGAATTTTGCCTGTGGCTGTTGATAAGGCTCCATTCTCCAGTCACTTCTTTCTGGGTCTTGGTTCACCCACCCAATTCACAGTCTGTTGACTGTTCATGTTCAGACATTGCTTCTTTAGCAACAGTGACAAATTAGAAGAATTATTTATTATAATAGTAATCTTTTGGCTTCAGGTTTTTTGGTAAAAAAACGTTGAGATCAGTGTTTTTTAACTTTATGAAGTTTTTAGGTTCACAAATCTTTCTCTATCATAAGGGAAAGAGAAGAAAAATAGCCCCTGAGAAAAGAACATTAGGAATCAAAATGCTTTTTTTCCCTTTCTCTCTCTCTCTAGTGCAAAGATTGCAAAATACATGTGTACTCTGGAGCAATTATTTGCAAAACTCAAGATACACTTGAAACGATTAGGTTTAATACATCCGCTTGTTACATCAGCAAAACTGTCTTTAGAGGCTTGAGATGAGTTTAACATAGCTCCTTTCATCAGCAATCAATAGGGTAAAAGTGACCTTTTAGGCTGTATCTGGATGGTGGAGTCCTTCCACCACGTCAGGAGGATGGTAAATAAGGAGTCACATTTATTTCCTTATTCAGGAAGCTCAGGGAGCATATCTTTCTGGAGCTGCCTCTTTTGGGACTATGGGTGTCTTCATGGACAGGAGATGCTCTTCTTCCCACTCACCTTTTGAGGAACTTTATCTCCCTGAAAGGGGAGTATGTATTTGTGGGGGGAGCAGCAGTGGTGGTTAAGGGGCTGGCTGGGGGCCATATGTATTTTCCTCCCCTGGTGCTATTAAGTGGGCTGCTGAATTTCACAAGCAGATATTCAAGAGGAGTTGCATGTGGCAGTGACTGGTGAATTTTATTTGCCTTTGTTCTCTGCCTCTATTAGTAGGGAGGGTGAAGATTCTGGCTGTCAGAAGATGGAGAAAGAACAGCTGGCAAGGACTGGATGTTTCTTAGATTATTCCTTCTGGTTTTTGTTTAACTTCTAAAATCAGATGCCAAAATTTGTAAGCCTAGTGACAGGCTTATGTTTTGAAGGTTATA